TTGCTGAGAAAATGGAAACTCTCAGACTGAAACTTTCTTAACCTCCAACTTCCTGAGCTAGACCTCTTCTGTCTTCTCTGTGCTTACTATGGAGAAAGTACCTCTTCTGAAAAAGTCTAGTCACTCTTGAGTTTGAGTCTTGAGTTTTGAATCCCCCATCACCAAGAATTTTATTTTATCACATTGCTCCATTTCTTGGAATTACTACCCTCTTTTCTGGACTCTGTCAGTATTCTCTATATTCTGGTCTCTCCCATTTAAAAAAGAAAAAGAGGAACTATGTGGACAATTTCTCTGGGCCTTTCAACCATTCTCTAACTTGCCTCTCCTCTCCACAGCCATGCTTTTTGTTAACACAGCATCCTGTTCAGTCTCCTTTGGTCTGATTTGCACACCATATCCCCAAGGTTGCTTTTGCAGAGGTCACCAGTAACTTCTATAATGCCAACCCATGAACACCTGTTAAGCATGATCATACTTGACCTCTCAGCAGATTCCACATGGTTGACTGTGCCATTATTTTTACTGCTTCTTACCATAGACTTTTTTTTTTGGTTATTTTTATATTTATTTGCACCTTTTACAAGATCACCATTTCTAAATTACTTACTTTGATCCATTGCTTATTTTTAATTAAGAAGGGTTCATGGATGCTATATATTTCATGAATTCTTACATGTTCGAGCAGGTCTGCTTGTTGTTGCCTTTTAATTTTTTTCTGATTACAGAAAGAGTACAAGTTCCCTATAAGTATATAATAAAGCATAATTTACTCTAATATTTGTACATGTGAATGTTTATAGATCTTAAGTCTGTACCTTCCCTTGTCTTCTGAGACACCACCCTCTCCTGCTTTTCTCTCATCTTCGCTTTCCTTCTCGGTTATTCAGGTTTTTGCTACTCACGTGTCCCTCACCATGGCAGTTGGCCAAACCCAGGATTAAAAATGCAGAATTTCAGGGGCGCCTGGGTGGCTCAGTGGGTTAAAGCCTCTGCCTTCGGCTCAGGTCATGATCTCAGGTCATGATCTCAGGGTCCTGGGATCCAGCCCTGCATCGGGCTCTCCGCTCAGCAGGGAGCCTGCTTCCTCCTCTCTGCCTGCCTCTCTGACTACTTGTGACCTCTCTCTCTCTCTCTTTCTGTCAAATAAATAAAAAAAATCTTTAAAAAATGCAGAATCTCAGGCCCAGCTTCAGAATAATTCTGATTCTAAAACAGAACCTGCATTTTAATAAGATGCCTAGATGATTAGTAGGCACTGTAAAGTTTAAGAACTGTTGCAGTCTAGGGCCAGTGCCTCCCATCAGTGAACTCTTCAGTCTTTAAATGTTGGGATTTTTCTTATTTTAGGCATGTTTCTCTTCCCTGTGATTTCAGATGGTATTGTGTGTTAACGCCTCCTCATCTACACTCTGAACTGTTGTACATCTACTGCTGTTCTGCGTAGACCTCTCACAGGCATCTCACTCCCACTTAGCATTTCATCTGCTACTACACCGCAGTATCTACCATAGTGCCTAGTGGGTTCTGAGTCAGTATATGCTGTTTTTTTATTGGGGTGGAAGTCTCAAAGTAGAGTGATTTCTGCAGCAAAAAGGCAAATGTATATTGCTTTACACATTTAAATTGTGTAAAGCAATATACACTTTCCTCTTTGCTGTGAAATTGCACTTTCCTCTTCATTTACTGGGCTGTCACCTTTGTTCACACTTTTTTTATAGCAGATATTTTACCCCAGATTATTGTCCTGGGCTTTCCCCATTTCAGATCACCAGTCTTACTAGTAATAGTAACTAAGTAACTAAGTAACTAACCAACTAACTCTTCTTCTATAATTTTCAGAATTATTTTTAGGAAAATATGTACAATTTAAATTCCTCATGTTACTTTGCTACAGTTTTGGAAACTAAAAATGGTTAATTTTTTTCCTGGCATTATTGTTTTATAATGAAGTTTGATTTTTTTTAACTTTTGGCATTTTAAGCTGTTAAATTTTTAAGACTTGCATTAAATTTAATTTCTTCAGTGTGTGAGAAGTAAATCTTAAAATAGAAATGAATCTTAAAAATAGAAATGATAACATTTTCTGCATAATACCCTCCACAATGTCAAATGTAGAAAGTACCTCTTTTGCAAAAAAGAGTTAAAGGATGAAAGCCCTTAAATGTGTTTTGTTTTGTTTTTTTAAAGATTTTATTTATTTATTTGACAGTGATTACAAGTAGGCAGAGAGGCAGGCAGAGAGAGAGAGAGAGGCGGAAGCAGACTCCCCACCGAGCAGGGAGCCCAATGCGGGACTTGATCCCAGGAGCCCAGGATCATGACCTGAGCCAAAGGCAGACACTTAACCAACTGAGCTACCCAGGTGCCCCAGCCCTTAAATGTTTTGAATGGAGTTTTATTTAACCCCTTGATTCCTAATAGAACAAATTCATAATCTGAAACTGTACTTTATTTTACAGTGAATATTTTATCATTTTTAGGAATAATTTTTGGAAAAGTAAAAGAGGGCTGGTGATATTTGCATTTTTTTTTACTAAATTAAAAATGCAAATTTCACTTCTTATTTTGATAGTTTTCACAACTCAGACTAATCTTGATAAAGCAGTTTATTTATTGTCCCCTTTGAAGAAAAAAATTGCTAAAAAATTTCACATCTGTATCATGTGTGAGCGTGTACCCCAGCCTGTGTATGTTGTTTGTAGCTTGCTTTGCAATACACTGTGATCCTTTTTGCATGTGTGACTACATTTCTCCATTTTAAACCTTTGTTTTGTAAGTAACTGTATTAGCTTCCTCTTGCTACTGTAACGTAACACTGTCATAGGTTCAGTGGCAGGCCTTAAGGATGCAAACATCTTTGAGGGGGGGCATTTTTTGCCTGCCATAGTAAGCTTCAAAAAATAGTTGTTGTATATTACTAGGCATGAGGTATGACTAATCAGAGAAATTGTTCACCAGCTCTTTATAAAAAGAAACCAAGGTTCCCACGTGAAATCAAGAATAAAAGTTTAAGTCCATCCACTTTTACTTAAGTATGCTAATGTGACAAAACAATGATTAAATGCTCTGAAATTACTGAGAGCATTAAAGGCTGATTATAAAATGTTTTAATACAGATTAAAGTCTACTTAGTAAACTAAATACCAAACTGGGCTTGAGATACAAGAAATCTTAGAAAGCTTAGGTAATAGGGCACTCTTCGTAAATTTTGGATTTTTGTTAACTTCGTGTTTTATGGGCTTGTCATTTACACTAAGACAAGCCCATAAAACACGAAGTTAACAAAAATCCAAAATGTAAGGTAATTTTTGTGAAATTTTAAGCACTTTGTAAAACCATTGTAAATGTTCTGCCTAGTTGAGACATTCACTAAGCTTTATTATGCTAAACATTAGTTAAGTGGCAGTTGACCTTTGGCAGACGTGTCTGATAACCTTTACAAACTCAGTATCTTTTGTAACCTACACATTCTAGGTCTTTTAACTAATGGATGACCTCAAGCAAGGCAAGAAAGTTCTGGAGGTGTTAGGTGAATACATATTTTGGCCTATGTACCACCTATGATATACATAAATTACCCAACTCCCTTAATCCAGACAAAAGCTATGTGAGGCTGGAAATACTGTCCCAGTTTTATGGCTGAACAGGTGGTGAACACTGGGTTTGAATCCAGCTGTGTGTAGGTGCCTCCAGAATGCTTCCACTTTTATTGTCCTGACTCACTTGTTGAGAGGTTTGTCTGTAGGTTAATGGTTTTCAGATGGTCCTCTAAGGCTCTATAACAGATCCTTTGGAAGTTTGGGAAAAATGATTTTTTTTCCCCTGGAATCATTCTTTCCCTTTGACTTGTTTTACACATTTGGGTTCAGTTTTAACTGTTTGGCAAGAGTTTCCCTACCTAAAACATTTAAAGTCTCCTGCCCTAGAAACCTGAAACCTCTGTAGAATGAATATGTATTAGAAAATAAAAATGTAGGTAGTAATAATTTATATTTGTCAGTGAACAGACTTTAGTTTCAGTGGTATTTCTATCCCTAAAGGTGTTTTGTGTAGCCTAATATTAAAATGAGGCAGAAGTGTTTGAACTATTAAAAGGGTTGGGAAGTTATTAGAATTAAAATTTGATGTGGAAAGTGGGTAATCTATAACTTACTGCCCAGGGTTCATTCCCACTACTAGCTCCTGCTGCGTTTAAAAGCTGCCCTGTAAGCATGATGTAATAACAGGTTAAACCCCCAAGTGTACTTCCTGACGCAGTGCAAATCTGAGGCCCAAGACTTTATTGGGGCACGGTTAATGCTTCTTTAAAAACAAAACAAGCTTCTGTGTTTAATGAGGCCGTTTAAGATGGTTTTCCCAGAGTGGGAGGAGAATGTAATCTCGGTTTGGAGGTTGGAGTTTGATATGGTTATGTACTGTTTACTACTCTAACTTCAGTCTTTTCTTCGAAGGGAGAGGAGTTTGAAGTATGGTGCCAACGGGAGTAGAAGTGGAGGAGTGAGTTAGAATTGAGGAAATGTGGTAGTCGACTCCCGGTAAATAGCAAATGAAGTGCTGAGAACTGTGTTCACACGGTTAACCAGGAGAAGAGCACTTGTTTGGCCATATATGTTCCATATACTGTGTAGGTCTTAGATTGAAATCATACAAAATTGCCAGTATCTGTTTTGTTCCACAGAAAGGAATGTTTCGACCTAAATATAAACATGTGGAAATGCTGAGGTCGCAGTGTCGCCGGGGGTCGAGGGTAGGGTTGGAGTTGCGGCCACGCAGTGCGGTGGTGCCGGGGAGCCGCCTGGGCTGGGAGGGCGGAGCTTGCGGGCGTGCCCACGGCGTCAGCCCCTCCCCTGTGGACCCCGCCCAGCCAGCCCCGCCCCAAGTTAGCTGCGGCTTGGTGCAGCGAGCCTGGGGCTGACTGGCGCTGCGGGCTGGAGTAGGCTTTCCCGGCAGCGGCCAGGCCCCAGCCGTGGTCTCCGCTTGTGTCTCCTGGCGGGCCGGACCCTGTAGTGGCTCCAGAGCTGGCTGCGAGGGAGCTCTTACTCCAGCCTCCTCGCACCTTACAGCCCCGTCCTTCACCCAGCCTGGCTAGCTAACGAATGTGGGGAAGACAAACTTCCAGGACAGACGGTTTAGGGCCCAGCGGAGGACAGCTCAGTGATGGCGCCCATTTTTGGAAACGCAGGCGAATTTGAGCTCGCAGGGAGGTGTGGTCGACTTCTGTTGGGACGGGAGAGCCTTCATTTCTCTGCTGCTGCGGTAGCCGGTGCCTCGGAGTGAATGGAGTGTGTTATAGGGCAGGACACTTAAAACTTCGCGTCTTGAAAACTTGAACTCGGACATGATTAGGAACAGAAGGTGTCCAGGAGGAGACTCTGTTAAAAATCGTATTTGCTTCTGGGGGAAAGGCTATGAGCTACCTGACTTCTCATGACCGGGAAGTCTCCCTTACCTTTTCTGTACTCTTGGAGGGGTGTCTTGCTCACATGTTTACCAGCAGCTGGGACAAAGAAGAGAAAAGGTATTGACATTAAAAGACTGGGTTGCTTAATCTATGAAACGGGAAAGTTGTTGTAAACCAGTGGAATCTGGATCAGGGAGTGGCTGCAATGTAATGGAGCTCAAATTTGCGGTGCTGGGTTTTTTTTTGTTTGTTTGTTTGTTTGTTTTTGTTTTTGTTTTTTGATCTCCTGTACTTTTCTGTTTAAACTAAGCTTCAGGTTATGTCATCACTCCTGCAGGGTTGTCTAGACACTTGAGTCCTTGGTTCCTACTGCAGGGCTGTTGTGTGGTTCGCGTTCTTTTTGGTTGAAGATGGAGCTGGGTTCTACCTTTGGAGCTTTGGGAGGTTTTAGTAGCTGCTGTCCTCTAATACCTCCATTCACAAGAAATACCGGCCTCATTTCACTTGTTTTCAGTCTTCAGATAGGGATTTAAATTGTGCTCTCTACAGTCTTTGGAAAAAAAAATAAAGATATATTTTAACATAAGCATGTTTACATAAACATGTTTAACATAACATGATTGATGATCAATGTACAGCTATTTGTTAAGTTAGGAAATGAAATGACAGTGTTTTTCTTGCTTGTATTTTCCTGGTTCTAGTATGTTGAATACAGACTGAGTTTACTGCCCCTTAATGTGATTAGCTTGTTTTGGTTTAGTGATTTGAAAAGGCATTGGTGGTTTAGACTGTTCCGTGCTCAGGGAACCACTTTCTAATTCTCATGTTGCTTTTTAGTGAACGGTATAAAATGGACCATGAAACAGGCATACAGCATAGACATGGGGCATTTTGGCAATGCTGTGCCCTTTGTTTCCAGGTGATGGAAAGTGAGGATCATCAGCACCAAGAATCCAACACCTGGGTTTTACATTATTTCAGATGATGAAAATTGATTCCTGTTGTCCCTAAGTCCATGTGGTAAGCCACATTATGATGGAATTCTGTACTTTTGTAAACTTCCTGAATTGTAGAATATTAACTTTAGTTGACAGTGGAAGTAATCTGTTTTTTTGGAGGGGGGTACAGCTTCAACCCTCACTTGAGGAGTCTGTCTTGGAGTAATCTAGAACTCAAGTTGCATTTATATGGCACATTGTTTTTTTAAAGTCACATTCTTTGCAACAGAATAACAATAATAATTGAGAAACCATTAAGTTTGAAGCATTAAATTTTAATATTTAATATTGTTAGAAATATGGCTTATATAGTTATTGGGAGTACACTCTTAGGACTTTAGTAGAGTGATCTTTTGTTATCTCTGAGACAAATATGGCCTGTCATATCCTAGCAAAGGTAGTTTCCTGGGGAAGATGTTTGCTTTATCTTCATTTAGCCTGACAAGTTAGTTACCTTGTCATTTCTTCTAGGTGACATTTATGTCTTAAATAATATTTATTACTGTGCTGATGAATGCTTCAGCGACACTGGTGAACCCTAGGGTACAAGGAATTCTTAACCTGTTCACTATACTGTCCCCAGTGTTGTGTGTGTCTCTTTGGTGCTTTTATCTTTATTTACCTTATTTTCTGGCTCTTTCCCATTGCAATTTATATCTGATTTGGATTGTGGAATGGAAGTAGAGTAAAAGATGTACTTTCTCTAAGTGCCAGACTAAGAACTTTTGAAGATGGCCTTCCATTTCTCTTCTCTTCGTCACACTTTTGAGGTGGGGGTTACTGATCAGTAGGAAACAAGATTGATGCGTAGCTGATGTTAACTAGATGAAAATGGATGATAGGATGGCAGCAGACCTTCCCCTGGTGACCTTCTCCCATTCCCTAAATCTACATCTAAAGCAGATTTCTGTTTACCATCACATGGAGTTAATCAAACTAATGTCTTGCTGACCCTTTGGATTACTTGTGACTCCCTGTAACTGTTGGGAGCTGACCAGGGGAATTGAACACAGAGGGGGAGGGGAAAGTTCAGTAAAAATGGATTTCATTGAACTTAAGCTACTTAATACACAGTTTCTTCAGTTGTTGATGGTCCAGTTTCTGTTTCAGCATTTATTGCATGTTGTCTAGTTCATCCAAGCAGATTTTTAATTTTTTTTTTTAAGAAAGGGAGTTCTACATGTGTCCTGGGACATTTTGATAAAAGAGATTTTATCTGGCGTGCAACTCCTTATAATCAAAATGTATAATTTGTGTAATTTATGTTTTTTTAAATCCTTTAGTCCTTTGCTCACAGTACATTTTGCATGAAACTTAAGTATTTCTGGCATGTCAGCATTATTTATAAAACAAGTGATGGTTGTAATTCTTTTTCTCTTGCCTCCTTTTATTTTTATTTATGTTTTGGTTACAGAAATGAGCCGCCAGACTGCAACAGCATTACCTACTGGAACCTCGAAGTGTACACCGTCCCAGAGGGTGCCTGCCCTGACTGGCACAACTGCATCCAACAATGACTTGGCGAGTCTTTTTGAGTGTCCGGTCTGCTTTGACTATGTGTTACCACCCATTCTTCAGTGTCAGAGCGGCCATCTTGTTTGTAGCAACTGTCGCCCGAAGCTCACATGTTGTCCAACCTGCCGGGGCCCTCTGGGATCCATTCGCAACTTGGCTATGGAGAAAGTGGCCAATTCTGTACTTTTCCCTTGTAAATATGCCTCTTCTGGATGTGAAATAACTTTGCCACACACAGAAAAAGCAGACCACGAAGAGCTCTGTGAGTTTAGGCCTTATTCGTGTCCATGCCCTGGTGCTTCCTGTAAATGGCAAGGCTCTCTGGATGCTGTAATGCCCCATCTGATGCATCAGCATAAGTCCATTACGACCCTACAGGGAGAGGATATAGTTTTCCTTGCTACAGACATTAATCTTCCTGGTGCTGTTGACTGGGTGATGATGCAGTCCTGTTTTGGCTTTCACTTCATGTTAGTCTTGGAGAAACAGGAAAAGTACGATGGTCACCAGCAGTTCTTTGCAATTGTACAGCTGATAGGAACACGCAAGCAAGCTGAAAATTTTGCTTATCGACTTGAGCTAAATGGTCATAGGCGGCGATTGACTTGGGAAGCGACTCCACGCTCTATTCATGAGGGAATTGCCACAGCCATTATGAATAGTGACTGCCTAGTCTTTGACACCAGCATTGCACAGCTTTTTGCAGAAAATGGCAATTTAGGCATCAATGTAACTATTTCCATGTGTTGAAATGGTAATCAAATATTTTCTGGCCAGTGTTTAAAACCATTGCATTCAATTTCACAGAGAATAAGGCACCCATCTGCCTGTCAACCTGAAACTTTTGGTAGGTGGAAGCTAGACACATGAAGGTAAATAAAAGGAAAGGCTGTTAAATACAGGAAACAGTTGCATGTAGTAACACTAATATATTTAAAAATAAGTCAGCAGTAAACCACTGAAAAGAATATATATATACACCCAAGATGGGCATCTTTTGTATTAAGAAAGGAAGCATTGTAAAATAATTCTGAATTTGTGTTGTAGATTGACTGTACTGTTGAAAAATACTGGGTTTTTGTTTTGTGTGTGTGCTGCGAGCTGGGTGTGTGTGTGTGTGCGTGTGCGTGTGCGTGCGTCCGTATGTGTGTATGCGTGTGTGTGTGTGGGGGTTTTGTTTTTGTTTTTTTTCTCCTTTAACCGACAAGCCATGTTGCGTGGTCTTGGACCACTGCTTTCCCCTTTGTGAGTCAATACATAGTGCTGCTGTGTGTGTCTATTTTTTTTGTGTGTGTATTTGCTAATTTTTATTAATTCTAGTTTTTCATTAAATAAATTTGACTTTCTTTTCTGTAATTCAGGTTTTTCCTCACTTTTTTTGTATCTTTTTAAAGTTAGTGTCTTTTTGATATGCATAATTGTTTATGGTAAAGTTTATACATATGTGTTCAATACGTATTCTTTTCCCCCATTAATCAGTTCATTAGAAGTATTTTACATTCAACTCTTTTGAGAAGATAGGAGTTCCAGAAAGGAAAGGTAACAGCAGAATTATCAGAAGCTATTTAAAGCAGTTGTAAGATGGTCTCTGTCTCTCTCTTTTCTCCAGCTGAGTCATTACCTTTGAACTTATTCTTTGAAAGCTTAGGGAATACTGATTTTTTTTTTTAATACTGGAAAAAAAAATCAGGCTTTTTTTTCCCTCCAAATATCTTGGACAAATCACATGTTTAAAATTTGTTCTTGTATTTATTGGTTTTGCAGAAGAAGGCATCGTCTTACACAGTATTTGTAATCAAAAGCAAATCATTTGTTTAAAAGCAGTTTGCAAAAAATGTTTTTGGTCTTTTATAATTCTCATTAAAAGAATATCTGGCAAATTAAAAACTTTCATGTGTCTGCTTTAGCTCTGTTTGATTTTTAATATCCAAAGTTATTTTCCTGTTCAGTTCTGTATTCTATAACCAAAAACAGTATGCTGTATTTTGAAGTGTGATAGATTTATTCTAAACAAAGAATGAGTATATGGTCTCTGGTTATAGAGTCTTGATTTCTTCTCTCTTGCTGACATTTTTATCCTCACAATTCTGGTAGGAGAGACTAATTTAAGTTAAAATGCTGATCTCTTTTCTTCCTATTTAAAAAAAAAACAAACCCAAAACCAACAGTAAGAGTTAGTATTTCATAGCCTAATGGTGATGAGCCTGGGCCTTAAAGCAGCCTTCCAGGGACCTATGTGCCAGTTGTAGCTCTATCCCACTTCTCAGGTATGGGACCTTGGGCCCCTGTTTCCTAATGTGTAAAATGGGGTTAATTATGGTAGCTCCCCAAGGGGTTAGATGGGATACCAGTAAGTTACCTAGAACAGTGCTTTGCAGTAATAAGCACCCAACAAATGTTAGTGCTATTATTAAGCTTTTAACTAGCACCATACTGATAACCATTGCTAATTACACTGAAGATTCTGAAATTGCCTTCTGAATGACCAAAGATCATTTTATTTTGTGTGTCTTTTATGGGTACACTAAACTTATTAGAAAGTCAGTTAAAATTAATTTGGACTACCCCCTTATCCCACCAGCAGTTCTGGATAACAGAATTTACTTCCGTTAACCATTTTCAGAATGAAGATTTGTGTAGTCTCTTTCCCTACCTAACCATTAGTTTTGAATTGGTTATCACATGCTCGTGTAGCCATTTTTGTGGTGAAAGGGAATACATCAACCACAAATGTATTTTTAAGTCTCTTCCTGTTAGCATGTGTGTTTAGAAGAGCAGTTTTCCCCCTACATTTGATGTATTGAATACTTCTGTAGAGGTACATCATTTTGTTTTTACAATATTTAAAGCGTTTCTTGGATTATGATAGTAGTATATGCCCAGTGTAGGGTCTGGAAGTTAAAAAAGAGCACACATGAGATCTCTGGAACTCTGTCCATTCAGATGAATGGGAACATTTTTATTTTTCGAGTCCTCGAGTATTTACTTCTGTTTATACATTTATCTTGAAATCATGTAATTTTGTGAACCGCCCCACCCCCTGCCCCATGCCCTCACATGTAACTTTAATAATCTTGGAGAGACATGGTTTTGGGAAAACTTAGTGATGAGGATTGACTAGAATTTTAGCCAGTTTTCCTGATGTTAGATACCGCTGTGTCCAGATTGTCCATGTAAATCTTTTCTGGCTATTTATAACCTGCAAACATTTCTCATTATATTCTTGGGATTTTTATTTTTTTAAGGTCTTGATACTTTTATCCGCTTTCTGGAGAGGTTCCAGTGGACACTTAGAGTAGTGGTGTGAAGGACTTTCCCTTTCATTGTACCCTCATGTTTTGCTAATTTGTGCAAGTTAAGATAGTAAATTTTGTGTTTGACATCTAATAAGTTCATCTTTGTTAACTATATCTTAAATCCTTTTTGTATTCTTGGTCGGTAGGGATGATGAGATCTATAGCCACATTTCTTGGTTCACTTGAGATCTTAAATCATCCTTGTTACAATCAATATTCTACTTTCTCCTGTTAATGCCCTGTCTTGTTTTTTGGTGTCTTGGTATTTTCTTCAGGGAATTACGTAGGGGTTGGGTAGGTGATACTCTTTAAATTTGGTCTTTCGCATTTATCTTCTTAAACTTGAATTTGTCCTGTTGAATCACTGGCCAGTTTAATATGTTGATGGAGAACAGGTTTTTGTTTTGATCTAAGTGATTTTTACTGTAATATTGCTTAATCTTTAAAAATGCATATATTTCTGCAAACTACATGTATAGGAGAGGCTATAGATACTTTGGTTCACCAAAAATCGTAGTGCTCCCCTGCCAACCCACAGCCCTGGAATTTGTTATAGGAAAGTTTGCCTCCTTTCAGTGGTTCTAATTGGAAGATAGGAAGTCAGCCTGCTTTACTCTCAGCACTTGATCACCTCACAATGTGAATGGACTCACCTTGTATAGGGAGGTCCTGGTGGTAGACGCCCTAGTCACTGGTCCAATGATGGGAATCCAAATCCTCTGCATTTCAAGCAGCCACTGCCAGAGATGGCACTGGAAATGAAACCATTTGCATTCCCACTCTTCTGAAGAGAATCTGTGCTATGAACAAAATGCAAGTCTTGACCGATGTCAAGAAGAGGAAAGAAGGAAATCGTTCTATTCTGCTCAGTACATACATTTTTGCTCCCTCCATCCCCCATTAAAAGAAAACAATCAGGTCTGTTTAGTAGCCTTTAAATACCACTCATAACCAGGAGACCCATTTTTACAATCACAGATTTATAAATTGATGTTAAATATTTTATGATCAATCACTAAGATGGCATTTTTCACTATAATCAAAAACACTAAAGACCTCTGGCCCCTGACACGGTTATCGGTAAGGTTCAAACAAAAGAGGCGGAGTCCAGTAAAAATCATGGATGTTTTAAGCAGACAATATAGAATTTCTTAATTACCAAGACACTTAAAGCTTTATTTAGTTTTGAGTTTTTAAAGCTCATAGATAAAAGGCATGTGGAGTACTGGTTAAATACGTCCCAAGGCTTCACCTCTAGTCCTACTTAACAATTTGAGTTAACATTTTAGATAAAGAGCCCCAGCTGACTCTGATATAAAGGGTGTCTGGATAACACTTTAAACAATGCTGGGAAAAGATATTCAGCACCACTAGTTATTAGGGAAATGCAAATCAGAATCAAGAGCTGCTACTTAACTTACCATGAGGATGGCTATTACCAAAAAGGAAAAGTGGTGGCAGAGTGCAGAAACTGGGGTCTTGGTGAATTGCTGGTGGGAATGGCAAATGGTACAGCAAACACTGTGGAGGAAAAGTTTGGTGGTTCCTCACAAAGTTAAGCACAAACTCATCCTAAGAACAGCAGCTGTGCCTCTGGGTATATGCCCAGAAGAACGGAGAAGCAGGGACAGGGACCATCGTACATGCATGTTTACAGAACTCTTCCCAACAGCCGAGAGGCGGAGACAACCCAGATCCCCTCGGGTGAACTGAGAAGATGGGGCATGGCGCACACGTGGACACAGGATTCTGATGCATGTGGTCAGCATGGCTAACCCCTGACAACATGCTAAGCTGAGGTAGGTCACACACAAAAACTTACATGAAGCAGCTGGAACAGGCAAATGGGTGGAGACAGAACAGTTCCAGGGAGATGGGTAGAAGAAGGTGGAGTTCCTGTTCAGTGGCAACAGTTTAAGAAAGCTTTGGAGAGAGAGGTAATGGTTATACACCACTGTGACTGTAATTACTGTCCCTGATTTATACACTTAAATACTGGCCAATAATGATAAATTCTGCTCTCTTGTCACAATAAAAAACCAAAACCAGTGCCAGAGAAATGAAGTTCCTCCTATGCACGTTCCCCCACACACCCAGGGCTCCCTGTGGGCTCCTTCAGAAAGGGCTGCGGGCCGAAGCTGGAGGGCACAGAAGATGCTGTTGCTCCCAGGCATGCTGGAGTCCCACCTTTTAGTGCATTCTGTTGCTATTTCTGGGTGTTTTAAGGAGGCACTGCAATTCGGGTATGATTAGCTTGCTGAAAATGAACATTTCTTTTCCTTCCCTGTAAAGATGATAGAAGTGATAAAATCATGAACAGTGAGAGATAGTCAATGAAATGTTTTTAAATGTCCTGATGCTTGCTCTCCCACTGGCCATAACAAGCCCCTTACCTGGAGTCCTAGATCGTGATGTGTAATTCCAAAACATGTTCATATTTTACTAGCAGGTATTTGGGTAACTTGTGGATCCCATGCTCATCCAAGACATTCCAAAGTATTTCTGCCTCTTCTAACATTTTGTAATAAAAGATTGTATAGTATTATTTTACTGTCCTGTTTCACTGTTATTCATCTTCAGTGACACTGACTTCATTACTACTGTTCTGTTCTATAGGTAAGGAAAACTAAGTAAGCAGAAGAGCCTGACTTTGTAGTTCTCCCGGAGCC